TAAATATATAAAAAATAATTAATTTTTTTATGTTATAGCTATATAAAATTATTATAAAGTTATAAGATAGAAGAAAAGTGCGCTAGACGCTTGTATGCGCCAGACGCTTATGAACCATGTTATAATATAGAATTCGCCTCTAATATAAATAAATTTCTCTTTCTTGCTCTTTAAGCGTACTTTTATATTAATATACTTAGTAATTTAAGTAATGCCTGTGACTCCTGTAACTAGGATTAGTATAAGTACTAAGCAAATAATGCTATCTTAGAAATATTTCTTAAAACATGCCTGGCCTATAAGAGATATACTTAACCCTAAGTTAAGACAGAACAAGAGGGGTATAGACGCATCTAGTAGGTAATGCAGCGTAGTAACTATATCAAATTATGCGAAGGACATGCCTAAGAGCGGCTTCTCTGTCTGTGCCTCGTCTAGTTAGGCGACTTCTTTAGGCGTGTCCTCCCTTAATATTATTACTATTATTAATATGCTATAATATAACGTCTTAACATTAACTTCTGTATATTAATGGCGCTCTCTCTGAGGAAGGTGGCTGCCTAGTACTCCCTCTCTTAGTTTTCTGACTCTGAGTTAGTCAAACCTAAGTCCTGCATTACTATAAAGTCAGCTTCATTGTTTGTCTTAGCGTCTACCGCCTCATCTATGTCTGTGTCAGAATCTTCAAATTCTTGGCGTCTTACTAAGTTCGCCTTCGTCTTTAGGCATTTATTATCCTAATAGTTACTATTATAGTAACAATATAGGCATCTTAATTCTCTTTTTATATTTACTAGTATCTTCTTTTCTTGCTTTAGGTCCTTAATATAAGTCATATATTTATTATCCTAAGTAGGCTCTATTAGCCTTTTATCTTCTTATTTATACTTAGGTTTATACTAGCTAAATTAAGGCTTAACTTACTTATATCTTTACTAAGTATAAAAAAGCGTCTTAGTAATAAATTTGTCTAAATATAATCTATCTTTGCCTTTATTCTTAGTCTTCTATATAAAAGATATTTCAGAGTTATTCTCTTAGACCTAATTTATAAACTAGGCTAGAGTCTTATTATTTTAAAGTAATATAATGCTTTTAATCTCAGGATCTAATTCCTGCTAGACTTCAAACTTAATCAAAGATTTATTTGCTATACTTATATTACGTAATAATTACGCTTTTTAATATAAGTAGCTAGTAAGAGATAGTTCTTTTGTATTTTTAAACTTAAAGTATAGTTGCTATACCCTTATAGTAGCCTCTTCTTAGTTAGGAAGAAATTCGATTTAGAGCTGTCTTTCTTACTTATTAAGGCTTGTATATATAGCTTTAATAACTTCTTAAGGCAGATTAGTATATTAATCTAGTACGTCTTCCCTTAAATATAATAATAAGGTTACTAGGATCTCCGCCTCCTCTTTAGTATAGATTATCTGTCTAAAGCGGTTTATAAAGAACTTAACTAACTTCTCTTTTAAGTCCTATAAGAGGATATCGCTAGCTTAAAGGCATAAATATATATATAAAGACGTCTAAGACGTATGTCTATTAGGTAATACTAATATAAAGTCCTATTCCTAAGGCAGGTATATAGGTTCCGCTAACTAGAGATAATTCAGGTAAAACTCGTCTTAAGGTCTTCAAAATAGTAGGTCTCCCTGTCCCTTTATATATAGTTGTTCAAATTAATTATAATATATTATATAAGGCTTCTAGGTATGTTCCTAGTATTAGGCATCTTATAAAATCCTTGATTTAAGATTATAATATTAGGCGTCTTATATAATTATTAGCTTAGGATTATAATAACTAAAAGGCTTCTAACTATTCTAACTTAATTCTATTTCTAAGATTTTCTTTTCTAAAGCCTTAATTTTTCGGCTTTACTATTCTAGGTATTTTGTAACCTAGATTGCCTTAGTCATTATTTCTTGTCTTCTCCTTCGTCCTAAGGGCTTAGGGAATATCTCTCTCGCCTAAGAAAGTAGTATTAGATAGTTCTCTTACGCCTTAGTCTATTATTAAGTTGAAAGCTCTAGTGTCTTTCTAATAGTTTATAAGCTTAAGCCTGTATTTCTAGCAGCTTTTCTTAGGCTAGTGCCTAAGTTAGCAAAGGTTTGAAACCTCAGGATATCTATTATAGCTAGCCCTTATATATTAAAAAATTCTATATAATAACCCTTATTACTAGCTAATTAAATCACGCTAGCTAGCAGGGATTACATTTGATTTCCCCTTATACTCGTCTTTTTCTTGCCTTTTTCTTTAATAAGGTAAGGAGTAAGAAAGATAAGTAATACATCTTCTAAATCTTAATACTCGTCTTCTCCGTTAGAAGTAAGGGGTTCCCTAAAGTTAAGATTTATACTAGGTCTTACTCAGAATTGTCTTAGCCACGTTAGGAAGCTCTTTAGATAAGTCAAATATTTGAATAATTCTCCTTCTTCTTAATATAGTTTTGACTTCTTTAGCAACTTGTTAAAACTCACTTCTGTCTTAGTATACAGGGCGGCTCTAGCTTAATAAAAGTTGTCTTTTATTATAAGTTTTATGAATTTGTAACCTTTCTTTTAATATTTCTTTTAATTTTTATAAAAGTATAAGATTAAGGCATATTTAATCTTAAATTACGTTTTATTATAAAAAGTTAGATTAGTAGCAGGGATGTCTTATACTTTAATATAGCCTTGCAAGTTAGCTATTACCCACAGGGTAGGCATAAGCAGATTCTCCTTATAATTAATTAATAGAGATTCTATTGGCTTAAGGTCAGATTCTGTTATTTAAGGAGGGTCTTCAGATTCTGGGAAGGCTTCTAACGTCTTTGCGTTATTTATTAGCTTAGGGTCTAGAGTATTTGGCTTCTTAGCCTTAAGGACCCCGCTTGATTAGTTAGTGCTATCCTAGGTAGCGGCAGATGTAGAGGGTCTGGCTTAGGTCTGGCTACTAGTGTCTCTTGACCCCTAGTTAAGGCCTAGGCTCCGCTGCAGCTGCCTTCTAGTAGTTATGTTATTGTTTATCCAACTGTTGTCCTTTAATGCGCCTTCTATTAACAGGCGCGTAGGCGTCTAGAGGCGACAAGTACAAGTGTCCAGTCAGGTATAGGAGTGAAGGATACCAGAATACTTGACCAGGCTGGTATAAAGGTGTCCTTTGAGGTAATTTCTGAACACTGACGGAACAGGAGCCGGCTCAGAGGCGTAGGTGGGTCGAAGGTGGGTCGTAGGCGTCTGCGGTCGCGCGTGAGTCAACCGGAGGGCCAATGGAGTCGTTTGGACGCTCAAAGTTGCTTCTCTCGTTCGTAGAAGTCGACTAAGAAGGTTCAAGTGACAAAGCTACCAATATGTAGTGCACCTGTGGGCCAGATGCGTATGAAGGCGACAATCCGTCTGAAGTCAGTGCATGAGTGGAGTGTGTCTATCCTCTATCTGCCTCTGAGGCGACTAAGTGCCTCTGAGGCGACTAACTAACTAACTACTACTAACATTTGGCAGTCGCCTTTGAGGCGCATCTGCTAAGGCGTCTTGGTCAGGGCATGCCATGGGCATGACACTGCTGGCAACAGTATCACAGCTTAATTGAGGCTAATAGCTAGATAGAACAGTCTCAATTCGCCGAAAATAGACGTTTGTTAACGTTTTTGGACCCCTCATAATGATCGACAGCGCTAATAGGCACAAACTACACCCCTGTTCAGGGACGGAGGGGATATATGTAGTAAACAATTTATTTTCAAATTTATTAGTTATTACGTAAATTATTACAAAATATTCAAAAAAAATCAAAAGTTTTCTTGGCGGCGGGTTTTTAGGCTGTGCCCAAATCTTCTAAAACGCAGCCCGTTGAGGGCCGGGTTCAACAGTTCCACGGCCCGGCCCAAAACCTGACCCTCAGCGGATTAGCCCGGCCCGTGTAGCAGCCTAGGTGTAGCATGCCAGTTTCGTCTCAAAATCCGAGAGAGAGGTTGTGCCAGAGGGCAACCTGGGGAACAGGCGGGCAGTGGAGAGACTTCGATCAAGTAGATGTATTCCAATTAAACATACTAAGCAGGTGATACGCATGCGGATAGCATGCGAAGAGCAGGGCGAGCAAGTGCATAATGGCAGCTTTCTGTTGTGTACGAAATAGAACGCTGGCCTTCAGAGCTTTCTCTCAGGCCAGCTTCTATCTATGTGCTGAGAGTCTTTTCTAGTTCTATATCTAAGGATTTTTGATTTTGTATAAGAGTCTCTCTAGATTTTAGACTTAGATTAGATCTTTATAATCTATTATGTATGCGCCCAGTGTGTTATAGAGCTATCTATCCTGCCTTTTCTCCTCGTTCTCTTAATAATTCCGAACACTTTTTTTTACTTATCCCTTTCGCTAACCACCTTCGTTTCTTCTGCTTATTATCTACGTATAAAGATATCTCATTAAGTAGTAATCTACATTACACTAGAGGTGCGACTAAGTACAATAACACTATTTTCATACATTTTATCATGTAAATATGTGACAGTAACATGAGACCGCTTGAGTAGTAGTATAGACTCAGTTTCTAGGCGTCTTAACATTGTTTCAGACGTACACTCCTCCTGAGAAAGCTTGTCCATCTGTTCACACATACTAATACTGATGTTTAACTGATTCCTGTTGCGAAAACAGAACTGAAATATCTGTTTAGACCAACTCTCCGCACTGTGCTATGAGGCACTTTTGCCCTTGTTCCCTCAGAACCAACTCTGCGGGTCTCACATAGGCGCGGTTTCAGGTGATTTCACTTGTTGTTCTGAGGAAGCAAATACAGCATTATGCCAATGATATCCATATAGAACTTAAAGCATTAATAGAGTGAGTATCTGTCTCTGTGTAACACACTGGAACCTTGGGTGTCTAACAGTGCTTGGCTCATGTGAATAGGTCGGGGAAAACTGGGGCAGTGATTGCCTATAAATGTTTTGTCCTCAGAAGTGAATGAAGTTGGACACCAATCAACCAGAGATTGAACGAGACAAACAATGCCAAAACAAAATCAAGCTCAGAGGCGGAAAGCTTCAGCACAGAAGCAACGTGATCAAGCCAAAAAGAAACAAGCACAGCAGAAAGAGCGAACTCAACAGCAACAAGATGATAAACCTGAACTTGCCGAAAGGCAAACTCAGTCACAAGTATTTCCAGAATTCGAAATATCAGACAAGTTTTTTGAGTTACGATCAGCATTAGAAATTTTACAGGTGTCTAATCTTATTACAGATGAGGAAGCTAAAGAGATGCAAAAGATGTATGCTTTCAAAGACGAGCCAACTGAGCATGAGTTGTTGGCGTCTGTGTTTGAAAGAATCGAAGCGTACGTAGGTGATGCTGGAAAAACTTCGAAAGAGCGCAGGCAGGTAAGGAATGCGAAGAGAGCAATTCAGTATCATACAGAGATGCAAAGTATATTGCGAGGTCAAAAACAAGTCAAAAAAGCTCAAGCGTCTCTAAGGCCATCACGTCCAGCGCAACCAGCAGAAGCCGGAAGTTCTGGAAAGGAATCGCAACCACCTCAGCAAGCGCAGATCCCTCAACCAGAACCACCTGAAGTTCGCCGAGAGCGCTTAATACAAGAACACCGGGATCACGAAATAGGAATCTCCGGTCAACTGAAGTTTCTGGCGGATGAATTGCTATCCCTTGGCGTACTTTCACGACGCGAAGCCTTACAACTTCGACCACCGTCGACCCTCGCAGGTTGGACGGATCTACTACATGACCTCGAAGGGAAACTTGGACGTCAGGTATCCGGACGTGGACAAGCGACCGAGCGAAGAAGAGCAAATGCGCAGCACATGCTCCACGCCTTGAAGGGTGTGGCTTTCGGCCAACTGGCCCCGCCTCAAGGGAGCCAAGGGCCTCGACAGAGCCAGGGGCCTCGACAGAGCCGGGAGCCTCGTCAGAGTCCTAGTCCTATATTAATACAAGAAGGAGCAGCTTTTACTCGTTCTAGTTAGCGCATATTGGGGACTTTTGATGCGCGACTCCGTACTTACTACTAACGTACACTACCACTTAGCGGGCCACCCCACTTACCGGGCCAATTTGCACACACTTTACGCAGTACTTTACCACTCCATAGGCCACATTACCATGACTTAATTGGGCCAAAAATTGAAGCTGGAGATACTTCCTATTTGAGCCTATCTGAGAGAATTCTGATGCGCAGCGAATCCTCCGAGCGGTGCGTAATTTGCACTCTAGAGGGCGCCCTGCCCTCTTTGGCAGCCCTGACCTCCTCAAGATTCCACGAACGCTGCACCCTCTCTTTTACCATGCGTTTTGAGCGCTTTTGGACCTCTTGATGGTGTAGTTGCTTTCGTACGTTGTTGAGCTCATTTTGAAGCAATTGAGCGCCAGCATGCTCTTGAATAGCTGCGTGGCTGAGCTTGCGTACAGAGCGTTGAGTTCGAGGAGTAACTTTGGCCTCAATTTGCGCTTGAAGCTCTCGAATTTCATCCAGCTTCTTCGGAGTGCTATAGAGATGGTTAGGACCCTCTTTAATAGGCGCAGGTTGATACTCAGGCGTTGTGCGGCCAAAATTTTGAATTTCAGGATCCTCTAGCAATTTTTGCTTATTTATTGGCCAAATGCCGGCTCTTCTCTATCCTGCGCGAATATTTCGCTTAGTAAATGCCTCCTGACGAGCCTGTACATAAAGTACCGTAAAAATACTTTGATTAAGTACTGCTATGCCGGTTGGAGCGTATTCTTCGACTGCGCAGCTGTACGCACTTGAAAGTGGCGAAAATGGACCTACATCAAGAGGTTGAAGTTTGTGGGTAGCGTGCGCTGGCAAATAGAGAGGGTGGATGTTGTTTTCGAGGCAATAATACTGAAATTCGCTAGTAATATGACTCTTTTGGCTATCAAGTATCAGAATAATATGCTTGCCATTTGACGCAATTGGAACGAATATTCGACGCAGCCAATCAACAGCTAGCTCTTCGTCAGTCCATCCCTTAGGAGAAAAAGCCCAAATAACGTCAGGAAGCTCCTCATGCTCTGGAAACATATGATGTTCAGGATTCTTGTCAGTAAAGATAAGATAGGGCTTAATAGCCTTTTCTGTATTTATACACTCAATAATAGAGACCTATTAAGTGTTATCTGACGCTAGAGCAACTGGGCGACCTATCACAGGATCAATTTCAATATATTTTGACGCTATTTGCCCTATCTGAAACCCTGTTTCGTCCATATTGTAGATATCCTGCGGCTCGACTGCGTATTGGCTGCGAAGCTGTTCGAATTCGGTGAAAAAGCGTTCAATAACGCTAGAATCAAGGGCCATGAGTCGTTTGATATCCATTGGTCGATTTCGACGCGTTTTAAGCTCTGGATGGCGAGCTATTAAACGCTCCATGTAATGCTTGCCAAGTTGAATCTTATCCCCCTTGCTATAGAGCAATTTAGTGACCATTCGTCGAATTTGAGCATAATTAAGGCATAGATGCTGCCTCTGTAGGTCTCTAAAGTATTGGATAAGCACTTTTTCTTCCTGTTTCGAAAGGCGTTGAGAAATGCGATCAGTTTCGGCTCGAGAGGGTCGTCCAGCGCGTCGATAGGCCACTGTTGATTTCGGCACATTGTAGTACTCCGCAGCCTTGCGAACTGAGCTAAATAGCCCTAAATCAACGTTATTTGACGCATTCTGAATCAAATGCTTCTTATGCGAGTCCATTTGGAGCTATATTGGTGGAGCTATAGCTGTTCGAAATATGAGGATGCCTGCGCGTTGGTGTGCAGAAATTGGCCCGGTAAGTGGGGTGGCCCGGTAAGTGGTAGTGTACGTTAGTAGTAGTAAGTATTCCCCCAAAATGGACCCAAGGGTTTGGCCTTGGCAATGATCTCTTAATTTCTTGCCGCTAATTTCCGGGCATGAAACTTGTTGCAATCCCCAAGTCCCTTCTCATCCTGTAGGAAAACAAGTCCGCACAGTCCTTACAAACACTCCATCTCGAGTCCTGCCTTTCTTGAATCATCTCTTCGTCCAGCCATACAGTAAGTGCCCAAGATGGGCCTCACAAGCCGACTCCTCCGGCTCCCGCGTCCGAAGACCTTCCTCTACACCATGTCGCTCAGCACCGGCGCCAGCCTGATCACGCTCTCCCTCCTCCTCAACAAGGTCAGCGCGCTGTACGGCCTCCTGGCGCTGCTCACGGGCTTCGAGCTCAACACGCTCCAACTCTCCATGTACATCTACTCTCTCCTCGCGCTGGGCCTGACCGCCTACCTGGCGCCTCACATCCGCACCCAGTCCCCCCGCTGCACTGTCTCGCGCTAGCATGGTTCTACACGCTCGACAGCATCGTCAACGCCGCCTACACCGCCGCCTTCGGCGTGACGTGGTTCCTGGTTCTGGCCCAGCACACCGCGGGCCGGAACCCG